GTTGGGTTTATCCTTTTTTTGGTTCATCCCTGGTTCTCCTGGGTTTAACCCTGTTGGGCTTAACCTCATTGGGTTTATCCCTTTTTATGGTTCATCCCTGGTTCTCCTGGGTTTAACCCAGTTGAGTTTAACCCTGTTGGGTTTATCCATTTTTTTGTTTTTTTGGTTCATCCCTGTTTCTCCTGGGTTTAACCCTGTTGGGTTTAACCCTGTTTGGGTTTATCCTCATTAGGGTTATCCCTGGTTTTGAATTCTCCCTGTTTTGAGTTTAAGCCTGTTAAGTTTGACCCTGTTGGGTTTAACCCTGTTGGGTTTATCCCTGGTTTTGATTTATCCCAGTTTTGTAGGTTTACCCCTATTGGGTTTATCCTTTTTTTGGTTCATCCCTGGTTCTCCTGGGTTTAACCCAGTTGAGTTTAACCCTGTTGGGTTTATCCATTTTTTTGTTTATCCCTGGCTTTCCCAGGTTTAACCCTTTAGGGTTCTTCCCCATTGAGGTTATCCCTATTTTTGGTTCATCCCTGTTGGGTTTAACCCAGTTGGGTTTAACCCTATTGGGTTTAACCCTGCTGAGTTTATCCATTTTTTTGTTTATCCCTGGCTTTCCCAGGTTTAACCCTTTAGGGTTCTTCCCCATTGAGGTTATCCCTATTTTTGGTTCATCCCTGTTGGGTTTAACCCAGTTGGGTTTAACCCTATTGGGTTTAACCCTGCTGAGTTTATCCATTTTTTTGTTTATCCCTGGCTTTCCCAGGTTTAACCCTTTAGGGTTCTTCCCCATTGAGGTTATCCCTATTTTTGGTTCATCCCTGTTGGGTTTAACCCAGTTGGGTTTAACCCTATTGGGTTTAACCCTGCTGAGTTTATCCATTTTTTTGTTTATCCCTGGCTTTCCCAGGTTTAACCCTTTAGGGTTCTTCCCCATTGAGGTTATCCCTATTTTTGGTTCATCCCTGTTGGGTTTAACCCAGTTGGGTTTAACCCTATTGGGTTTAACCCTGCTGAGTTTATCCATTTTTTTGTTTATCCCTGGCTTTCCCAGGTTTAACCCTTTAGGGTTCTTCCCCATTGAGGTTATCCCTATTTTTGGTTCATCCCTGTTGGGTTTAACCCAGTTGGGTTTAACCCTATTGGGTTTAACCCTGCTGAGTTTATCCATTTTTTTGTTTATCCCTGGCTTTCCCAGGTTTAACCCTTTAGGGTTCTTCCCCATTGAGGTTATCCCTATTTTTGGTTCATCCCTGTTGGGTTTAACCCAGTTGGGTTTAACCCTATTGGGTTTAACCCTGCTGAGTTTATCCATTTTTTTGTTTATCCCTGGCTTTCCCAGGTTTAACCCTTTAGGGTTCTTCCCCATTGAGGTTATCCCTATTTTTGGTTCATCCCTGTTGGGTTTAACCCAGTTGGGTTTAACCCTATTGGGTTTAACCCTGCTGAGTTTATCCATTTTTTTGTTTATCCCTGGCTTTCCCAGGTTTAACCCTTTAGGGTTCTTCCCCATTGAGGTTATCCCTATTTTTGGTTCATCCCTGTTGGGTTTAACCCAGTTGGGTTTAACCCTATTGGTATCCTTTTTTTTTGTTCATCCCTGGCTCTCCCGGGTTTAACCCTTTAGGGTTCATCTCCATTGAGTTTATCCCTATTTTTGGTTCATCCCTGTTGAGTTTAACCCTGCCAGGTTTATCCTTTTTTTTTGTTCATCCCTGGCTCTCCCGGGTTTAACCCTTTAGGGTTCATCCCCATTGAGTTTATCCCTATTTTTGGTTCATCCCTGTTGGGTTTATCCTTTTTATTTTGTTCATCCCTGGCCCCCCGGGGCTTAACCCTTTAGGGTTCATCCCCACTGTGGTTAGGCCTCTTTTTGGTTCAGCCCTGTTGGGTTTATCCTTTTTATTTTGTTCATCCCTGGCTCTCCCGGGTTTAACCCTTTAGGGATTTTGCCTTTTTGGGATCATGCCCCTGGATTCATCCCCGTTTCTGCCCGCCGGCCCCACCTCAATGTGCTGGAACATGTAGGGGTGGTTGCAGATCTTGCGCAGCTGCATGATGGTGTTCATCAACGTCTTCGTGCCACCTTTCCCCTGCCAGGAACCATCCAGGAGGTTAAAAAACCCAAATTAGTGCTGGCTTCCATCTATTCACCAGCCCAGAATTCCCAGGAATTTTTGGGATCATTGACCGGGAGTTGACGGGGGGCTCAAGAGACATTAAAATAAAATTTAAAAATGAATAAATGAATTTATTTCAGTAAATTTAAATTTACTTAAAGCTGAATTTATTTAAGTAAATTGAAAATTATTTCAATAAATTTAAATTTCTTTCAATAATTTATTTAAAATAAATTCTTTTTAAAAAATAAATTTTAATTTATTGAAATAAATTTCCACCTCCAGCTTTCAGCTGAGATCAAAGTATCTTTTCCCAATTATTTTGTGGTTTTATTCTCATTCTGGCTTCGAGGAGGATCACCCAAACACGTTGGGAGCCCAAGCCACCCCAGGGTGGAGACAAACCCATGCTCAGCATTCCCAAATTCCCAATCCAGACCTTCTTGTCCTTCTCGGAGCCGTCGGTGAGGAGGACACCCTTGGCCTGCATGTGCCGGTAGAGGACGCGCTGCAGCGCCGACATGTCGCACTTGATGACGTACTCCACCTGCCAGGAGCCAACGGGGAACGTCACCGTGAGCATCAGGCCCAGCAAGTGCCAGAGGGATCCAACCCAAACATCTGCTCAACCCAACCCAACCCAACCCAACCAAACCACCTGCTCAACCCAACCCAACCCAACCCAACCCAACCAA